CACACACACACACACACACACACACACACACACACACACACACACACACACACACACACACACACAACACACACACGCACAACACGGGCACACACACGCGCACAAACACCCGTATGCACTCCAACGCGGCGAACTCGACTCACTGCTGCACCGTTCTTCCGTGCGCGAACTCTCAACTTCGCACGGATGCACCGTTCTACCGTGGCAGCGCGTGAAAGGCCTACCACTTCGAATTCGAATTCGTGCCGCCACTGCTGCAAGGGCACACAAAAAGATGTGTGCCCCTTGTGAGGGCATTTCAAGGACGGGCCGATGAAACGCCAACAGCGGTCCGGTGAGGGCATGAAGGAAAGTTACGCCCCATGCTGACAGGGGCATGCAGAAAATTTCAGAGGCCCGAGGGGCACCACAAGGTAAGTCGGCCTTCACAGGGTCACGCCACAAATAAACGCAAACTTCGGGGGCATTTCAAAAATTTTCCCAAATTTTTTTTTTTTTTTTTTTTAAGGTGGGTTTGTGCTTAAAACATTATGGGCGGGTTGGGTGAAGTGCCAATTCAAAAAAAAAATGCTCATCTCTGCTGCTCATTAAGCCGCCATGCCTGACTCTGCCCCGAGCTTCCTTGGTGCGGCACTACCCCAACTGGGGCCTTCCAGATGCAGCACCTATCAAGGTCATGAAGATGGTGTCCACCATAGCCAGGTCGGCACCCCGCCACTCTCCTCCTTGGTCCTCTTCTCCCTCCTTCTCCTACCGATAGAGCTCCACCATAGCCAAGGTGGAAGCTCCCGGGCTTCTTCCTCCGAGCAGCGCTGTAGTAGCCAGCGCTCCAACAGTGTGTCGCCAAACTTGCACACTGAAGAATGAGGCTGGGCTCTTCGCTCAGCCTCAAGATATAGGGCCTACTTGCCTCCTGGGCGTTGACTTCCAGGCCGCTCGGCCTCCCAAGCAACCGGTACCTCCTCCCTTTCGGAGGGAAACATCATTGCAGACTCCGATATTGCCCGTACAGGCCCTAGACTCAGACTGGATGGACTGGTACCCGCCTAGGCCTAGCCTACTGCTAACTTCAACTTCTTCTGCTCGGCCTCAAGTACCCGGCACATCTACTTCTACTGGGTGCGGTACCAGCCTACCTGCTTTTTTAGTGTTTTTTCGCTGCTCTAATTGTCGTGGGCCTCTTACTCCGCCACTTGAGTGTTTTCCCTGCTGCAACCCTCAATGTCACGGCCACAGGTAAGTACCGGCCCTACGGGCCTCCCAAACAAGCAAGTACCCTTGTGGGTCGCACACACACTCATCCGGACAAGCACTC